CTGCAGCAGGCGACGAGGGCCACAACGTGACTGCAGCAGGCGACGAGGGCCACAACGTGACTGCAGCAGGCGACGAGGGCCACAACGTTAATCCAATCACTATTTCTCAGGATCCCGACCCTGTGTGCAAATTTTGCATTCATTGAACCTGACCAATAAAAACAAAATCCAGTACGATGGCCAGTTTTTTTTTTTAATACAATAGTTATGGTACTGTGTGACAAATCACAGGTAAGGATGCATTATCAAATGAAGTGGGTAAAACCGGATCAGTCGGCTTGGTCTAAAATCTTCTGGTAGACCAAGAAAGTTAAACACAAAACTTCATCTCCAATACAAAACTCAACGAGTGTCAACGTCTGTGACTGAACTGTTGGAAACTGTTTAAAGGTGAATCAACATTTGACAAACACAAAATGCCAACCCGGAACACGCCATTGTAGTTTTCTGAGAAGGAAGGCAGAACGGAAATATGTCATTCATACTGGATATTACGGAAAAGCGCAGGAAACAAAAAATACAAAATGTAATATAAATCCATGTTTGCAATATTCTGCTCTGCATTGTCATATTTTAATTCTTTTACTGGCTTACAAAATACGTTTCAACTCTTTATAGGTACTTTTTAAACAGACTCTTCCAAACAGTGAATTTAATATCTTTTAAAAAAATCAGTAAAGTAGGATGCTTCTTCCAGGTTCCTATGTATTTTAAATTTTATCTGTTATCTAAGGATTTTTTCCCCCAGATACTAATCATCTGCTTTCACTTGTGTCCTCCAACTGTTGTGCACTTGCACACTAAAAGTAGGAACAAGGCTGTACATGGTGGGATACTGCAAAACAATACAAATATTACACGGGGTGCTTTCCAATGACTTAATAAACAAAACAACACAATCTTTATTTTTTAAATGCGCACTACCTTGACGTATTTTTTTCCTCGCGCCTCCAAACTTGACAGCTAAATAAGCCAGCATAAACCAGCTGTAGAGATATGTAAATATGACATCCGAAGCTGGAGGGGAGCACGGTGAGAAGATCCATGTTGATCTCGTGTACAAGCTTCTCAGAAGAACTTCGAGTACTTCCTATTATGTTGTCGGTTCTTTTATTGTCTTCTTTTCGCTTATCTCCTGCACTGCGCGGCTACAGCAGCGCCATCTAGCGACAGGAACAAAATATCAGCAACAGAGCATTAATTCAAACAAAACAGATTATCAAAGTGCTGAACAATTTAAAAAAAGGTCTAAATGTAAATGAAAACAATAAAACTAATTCATTTAAAAGTATCAGAAGACAATAAATGATCAACACAGAGCAATAAAATACTAAATGAGAGGACGTTGAAAAACCAGGGATGGCACACCAAAACTAAATTACATAATATTCTATAATGCTTTTAAAGGCACCATCTCTTCTAAATATATTAAAGCTATTTTGTTTTTGATGTGTACTTTTGTGAACAAAAACTATAATTATAATTACTCAAAACTGGACACAAACTTTTAAAATAACAGTTACAAACTACATTTATTCTAGCATTATCCCAAACTATTATCAGCTTTTTCATGCCCTATTTTAATAAATAGGATTTAGATCTGTGAGAAAAAACTGGAGTACCGGAAAAAAAAAAAACCACGCATACACAATGGAGAGAACATGTAAACACAACCCAGAAAAGTCTCAGGCTGGGATTTGATTCAGAAAACCTTATTGCTGAGAGGCAACATGTTGCTCTACCAAATGTGCCCCTGTGCCACCTATTTTATATKCATTGTATAATTATTTAAAATTAAAAATATATTTATGCATGAATTCCTGAGAACCTATCTATTGTCGAGGACTGTGGTTTTAGGCAGATGTGYTTTTAAAAGAGATTTACAAACAGAAAATGAAGAGTCCTGTCTGATGTTGGAGGGCAGATTGTTCCAAAGCTTAGGAGCTATGACTGAAAAAGCTTCAACCTAGTTTGTGGGATGACCAAAAGCAGCAGGTCAGCAGATCTTAGTGTCCAAGAAGGAACATATGGTTGAGGTCAAACAGAAGAACATCCATCCATCCATTCATCCATCCATCATCTATCCATCCATCCATCCATCCATCCAACAATTGTCTTTACCCACTTTTTCCTCCTGCGACTCAAGATATTTGTTTAAAATTGTATCAAAATTTTGTTTGATTATTTTTTCTRCACCTTTATGGAAMCAAAGGTAATTCATAGGCACTCCAAAGGATTTATTTTTGWTAAAACCTATTGGTCCTTCCAAAAATGTTTCTGCGTTTTGAYTTGAGTCAATAGATCAGCAGTTATATTAATTTWAAAAACAAMAACTAATTTTAATCTTGTCAGAACCAGACATTAAAAAAGATCCCCCAACTTGAAAACAATCTTACAGTAAATATTAACTCAACAGCTGTATACGAATACAAAATAAGACTTGATTGAGTGTTTTATGGGAGTTGGCAAAGATTGTAAGTTGTGCATTACGGACACCTGTTGCGTGTCATTGTGCATTGACTGATTTTGGAAGAGGGAATTAATTACACAGGATTACATTCAGCTGTGTGAAACCTGCCTGATTAAGTTATTTAAAGCTGAGCTGTTGGTGTGTCAGTTAAACAGGAATCATGAGGGCTGTGTGGTTTTTGGTTTTTCATTTTGTGGTGTGGCTTGGAAAAGGTTTGTGAATTATTCCATTTTTTTATCATGCGAGTGAAATTGAGATACAAAGGAGCTATGTATAAAATGATAGACATGTTTGAAGATTGGTAAAATGATTTTAAGGGTCTGCCTTTGCATCCAGCTAAAGTGGTNAGTCCAAATAGTCCTGAAAAGGTGTCAAAGATGCCTTGCCAGTATCCAACCTTACTTGTTTTTGACTCTAAATTATACTTAAAAATATCAATCAACCTTATTTCTTTATTTTAACAATCACGACTTGCATTATTTCCCTCCAGCTCTCACTTTGTTGCTCATGAGGGACAGATTGAGTTCACCTTGTGTTCTCAGCTCGTTTCCACCGTTTACTGAAGGACAATTTGTTGCAGCCCACGTTGCCTCGGTCTGCATATCCTGGCTTTCCTCATATTCCGGTTTATGGAGGCATTTCGGGTTTTTAAACAAGTTAGCATAAGTTCATCTCCACTTTCTGTCAGTCCACCACACTTGGTGCTTTGTAGTTCATCGCACGCAAAAATACATCAACGTCTAACCGCAGCGATTGCAAATCAGTGGAAATTTTTCAGGCAGATAATTTCACACAATACGATCTTGTCCAACCCTTATGAGAACCTTAACTATTGTTTTTATTAAAGTTGATTTATGCAAGCCAAATTACACAAATGTGAACTGTTTCAAACAATCCTAATGACTATGGATGATTAACTCAACCCCCGATTCAGTTGTCGATTTTAATTTCACAATTGTGATTATTTTCTCTTTTATTTTTCAATGAAATTAATTGTAGTCATTTTACAATCAAATGTCATTCTTTTATTTTAACATCTGTATTTTTGTTCTTGTATCAAACTGTAACCATCTGTTGTCTTAGTAAAGCCCCCTTCACACTGACATTTGAGACAACTTGTGAAAATTTTGTCAGACTTTGAAGATGTCTTCACTGAAGAAGGAATAAAATTAATTGACTGGAAGCTTTTTTTATTGTTTACATACTGCAATGATAATGGTTAGGTCAAATATAAAACATATGAATTAT